TTTTATGTGCCATGTCCTTCCCTCTGCTTCCTCTCACAGACCACGTTCTGTCATCCACTTGCTGAAGCTCGTCAGATATATCACACGCTGCTTTCTCTTGTCTCTCCTAACCTCTATTTGATCCGTGAGTATCAGATTCTCCAGGCTCTCCTTCCTCATTATGTGTCCCAGAAACTTCAGCTATCTCTTTCTGATGTTAAATATAAACCTCCTCCTTGTTTGTATCCTCTCTAAGACCTCATTGTTGCTCACATGCTCCGTCCATGATATCCTCAGTATCCTTCTGTACAACCAAATCTCCGTCGCCTCAAGTCTCTTCTTCATCTTTGAGGAAATCGTCCAACATTCGCTGCCGTAAAGGAGAACAGATGTTACGTAACAGCTCAGTATTATTTTTCTTTGTTATCAAGGAAATCCTTCGGTCTCGCAGTATTCTGCTCAGATTTTTCGAATGTGTTCTTGGCCATCCCAATACGTCCACGGATGTCAGTGTCACACTTCCGTCAAGATAATAAAAGATATTTAAACTTCCGGGTCTGCTTGATTCTAGTGTTCCCGACCTGCAAATCGTATTTCGGGCTCTTCCTCTTACTGATGACCATTCATTCTGTCTTCATTTACTTTATGCTTAGTCCTTTCTTCTCCCTTTCCGTCGCTACATTCTGTAGATTTTGTAATTTCTCTTCCGTGTTTGCTATCAGTACTGTGTCATATGCATATCTTATGTTGTTAAGGTTGTGGCCGCCAATGCTAAATCCCGGTAGGATTTCCAATTCTCTCAGAATTACCTCGCTGTCTAGGTTGAACAGGTCGGGTAAGACAACGAATCCCTGCCTTATGCCCCTTTCTATTTTCGTATATTCACTGATCTCGATAAATACTTCAAATACCTCGCTGTATGAGTCAGTTATAACAAATTTAGATACAGGAGATAAGAAAATCGAACATAGAATAGGCTGAGCTGCGATTTGTTTTGTCTAACATGGTAATTTTGATACAAATCTAAAACATTAACTCGGCGTCATGTTCTTGAATAGCTTCACCAGATCAGAACTTGCATATGGAAGTCATGTATATCGCCGAAAGCGTTCAAAAATATCTAAGCTGCTGACCGTAGACAACCTCTTTCTGAAATTAATGATTAAAAACGGCTTCGAGCGAATGATTCCTCAAGAGAGGACCATGCTTTCTCAAACCTCGTGGAATGGCTCTACAGAATCAAAAAGAACTGTACTAAATAACAGAAATCACATGACTTGAAGACTTTCAACAGTTTTCTTCTTTAAATGTCCTCAGAACGTAGGCTAACATGGCTCTTTACAACTTCCCTTTCCTTAATAAATTTTGTCTTTCTTTTAAAATTCTGTTTCGCCATCTATTTACTCAAGCCCACTAAGTATGTTATGCGTTGTTTTCCTCTGTCCCGCTTGCTTTCAATCTGTCCTGTGAGTATCTGATTTTCCAAGCCGTCTTTTATCATTATGTGACCAAGGTATGTGAATTGTTTCTTCTTGATGCTAATTATAAGTTTCCTTTTTGTTTCAATTTTCTCTAAAATTTCTAAAAATGCTCACATGTTCGGACCATGTTATTCTCAGCTTCCTTCTGTAGAACCACATTTCTGTTGCTTCAAGTCATCTTTGAGGAGAATTTCCAGCACTATCCAACATATAGGAGTACAGTTCAACTCTCTTTTCCTTGTTTTTTTTTCCTGTTTTTTATTTCTTTGTCCTTTGCTTAGCATTTGGAATGCATCTTTGGAATGCATCAATACACCTTCAGATTTCAGTGTCACACTGTCAGTCCTCTGATAAAAAAACTTCCCAGAACAACTAAAATAGCACATATAAATCGAAGAGAAAATAATGGCGTAATCGAGATACTGTCTTTCCACATTGCTTCGAGCAAAATCTGGGAAGGGAGCCCCCATCAGTATTAAAAAGAGAGATAAAAATAGATTTGTGAAACCAATTTTTCTGAAACAACGGAACAATTAATATAACGGAGGTGGGCCGAAAAGTTCTTAGGCTGACTATGAAGCAGTGATGCTAAAACTGTGAAATAGTGCATGCTTTAATTTCAACTCCTCTTATCTCCAGGTAAACTGACATCTGACTATTCAATGGAAACTTCAAATATAACAAGTAGGGATTTCCCTTTCACAATGAACATGGCATGACGAAGATTATTTTCTAATACCTAATTAAATTACAGGAACATCTGACATTGTTTTAGGCAGATCCAGCTGGTTTATTTGAACGTTTCATATCCTCGGATGAGTGTCGGGTTCATCATTTTCAGGCAGAGACAAAGAAACAATACTCGCAGTGCAAACACTCCTACTCCAAAGAAGGTCAAGCTCATTTCATCTGCAGTGAAAGTGGTGGCCTCAGTAGTTTTTTTTTGGGGGGTGGGGATTCAAAAGGCACTGTCTTTATTGAATATCTTCAAAATGGCCAAAGCATTAATGGAGAGTACTATGCCAACTTGCTGAGCAAGTTACGAAAGGCTATCAAGACCGAACGCTCAGAAAAAAAAAACCTAAACTGACTAAAGATGACTTGTTTCATCAGGACAATGTTCCAGCACACCTTGGTTTTTAAAGACTGCTATGTATGACTGTGTCTATGAATGGACTGATCACCCTCCTTATTCTCCTGAATTGGGCTCCACCTGACTATCAACTATTCCCCCCCCAAAAAAAAAACAACACTTGGCTGGGAAGCAATACCGCAGTCATGACATTTCTGCTGATGACTTTTTTGACCAACAAGATGAAAGCTTCTTGACCAATAGAATCGAGGTACTGCAACACCAACTGAAGAAATGTTTGGACCGTACGGAGAACTAAACTAAAATAAACCTCATTTGTCACATTCCATGAGAGTATCTTGGTCAGTCTATGAACATTTCAGCCGTCACTCGTGCCACAAGCATTACCATATCTATCTATCTATCTATCTATCTATCTATCTATCTGAGTCTTTTAAACTATTTCATTCTATCTATCTATCTATCTATCTATCTATCTATCTATCTATCTCAGTTTTTTAAACTATTTCTATCTATCCATCTATCTATCTATCTAGCTCAGTCTTTTAAACTATTTCAATCTTTTAAACTATTTCTAATCTATCTCATCTATTTATCTATCTATCTATCTATCTATCTATCTATCTATCGATCTATCTATCTAGCTCAGTCTTTTAAACTATTTCAATCTATCTATCTATCTATCTATCTATCTATCTATCTAGCTCAGTCTTTTAAACTATTTCAATCTATCTATCTATCTATCTCAGTCTTTTAAACTATTTCATTCTATCTATCTATCTATCTATCTATCTATCTATCTATCTATCTATCTATCTATCTATCTATCTATCTACTTGTGGCCTTGTGCCGTCTCAGTTCAGCCGCCTATCGTTTTGAGATGGATAGAAGTATTCCTTGTCCAGTGAGTTTGATGCGAAACTGGTTGTGTCAAGCAACATAAAAGAAAATGAAAGCACATATGCTAAAGAGGAGCAGATGTTTTATGTTACTAAAAGATGAGAAGTCTGGAGTTTTCTGTAAAATGTCAACTTGATAACGGATGTTCTTTTCGGGAAATTTTTTTTTCTGCCAATGCGAGGAAGAACGACTTTTCGCAGTGGGTTTAATCGAGCAAGATTCACTACAAGTGAACAAAAGACCAAGATAACACGCACTCCAATTTTGAAGCTGACATGCGCAAATAAAAAAAAAAAAATAAAAAAAAAAAAATAAATAAATAAAAAAATAAACATGCTTAAAGCTTCAAACGTTTCAAGTGAAGTATGCACAAAAATCCCCAGCGTCTTTTTATGAAAACTTCTGACTTGTTTTTTTCTTATTTGAAATGCCATGTTTTTTTTTTCTAGGACGTAGGCGATCACGGCTCTCCACAGATTATTTTTCTTATCTGTGAATTAGTATAGCTTCTTGAGAAAGACAGTGGAATGGTCTCGCGTTGCTTTCTCAACCGTTTTGAATTCGGAGTCGGCCTTCTTCTAGAGTTTAGAGACCATACTACACTCCTATTTAACCCATAACTGAGGGAAGAAGAGATCTGTTAATGTTTTCATCATTTTAGACAAAAAAAAAAAAAAAATGAAGAAAGAGCCAATCGTAAATAGAGATTTTCTAAGCGTAACTAGGTGTCGCACAAGGCCTGAACTATCAAGCGCCCAGTGACGACCAAACTCACTGCTAAGTTGTAACTGATCCAGCAAGAGAAGATTGTTAACCATTACACTACGCCGAAGTGCCCAAGCCAAAAAAGAAATAGATTTCAATCTATCTATTGCATTTTTCGGCTTACAAAATGTCGCAGTTTGGAAGACGCACCCTAATATTGGAAAGAAATTTCTAAGAAAAAAAAAGTCATTCTAATACAACACATTTACCATGCCTCCTCCATATTCTGGTGCCACGTATTTTTACATTAATCCATCGTCCGATTTTGTTTGTATTCAATGAAGTCAAGAGCAGAAAGGCTCTCGCCGCTGCTAGTAAACAGAGCATGTTTAAGCTTGTGGCTCGGCTCCAGGAAGGTTTATAGTCTTGGAAATATTTATAACAGCTAAGTACTGAGGTTACATATATATAAAAGGCTGAATTAGCTAGCTAGCTAGCTAACATTATAGTGTAACGACTCCCTACACAAATCCACGTCCCTATCAGTCAAGCTAATCAGGTGACAGCCCAAGCTTACTTGAGCCTGGGCGTTGCCTTACATTCGTCTGGGAAGAGTACACGTATTTTTAGGAAAAAAGTACGTCTTGTATGCAGGAAAGTATGGAATCTATCTATCTATCTATCTATCTATCTATCTATCTATCTATCTATCTATCTATCTATCTATCTAGTATTTGAGTAGACGCTCCGTTTATTTATTAAGCAGTATATTTTCGTCTAAAATAACGTTTAAAGTGATAAAATCTATCTATCTATCTAGATATATCTATCTATCTAAACTATCAGATAGATAGAAGACTATTCATGTTTAGATATGAAAATTTATAGAGAGATAGATAGATGGATAGATAGATGGATATGAAAAAGACGACAGATAAATTGATTTTATCACTTTCATGTTATTTTAAGTGGATATTAAGACGGGTAGACGTAAATAAACAAATATTTCGTTTAATAAATAAACGAAGCTTCTACTCAAATACGAATATCCACTAAAAATAACGCTTAAAGTTATAAAATATGTCGGATTAATACGTGAAAAATCCATAACTTCTTTACAAAATAGATAGATTGAAATAGTTAAAAAGACTGATATAGAAAGAAACGGACTCAGATAGAAATGAACAAACCGAGAAAGAGAGAAATAAACAGTCTGAGATGGATAGATAGATAGATATGAACAGACCGAGAAAGAAAGAAAGAAACAAACTGAGATAGATAGATAGATAGAAATGAACAGAAAGAAAGAAAGAAAGAAAGAAATAACAGTAACCAACTACCTTGAGGGGCTCTTTTTGGTTTAATCAAAAAAGACAGCAACCACAGATAGATAAATAGATATTGATTTTCTAAGCCCGGCTTAGATGTGGCACAAGGCCGAAAGTTTGGGTCATCCCGTGAGGATCGAACTCACTTTTCAGTAGTAACTGATCTAGACAAGACAAGCTTGCTAACCATTACACCACGCCGAGGTGCCCATAAATAGATAGATAGATAGAAAGCAAGAAAGAAATTAACAGACTGAGAAAGAAAGAAACAACGTAAGAAACTAACAGACCGAGATAGAAAGAAAGAAAGAAAGAAAGAAAGAAAGAAAGAAAGAAAGGAAGGGGGAAGGAAGGAAGGAATGAAGGAAGGGAGGGGAGGGAGGGAGGGAGGGGAGGAATGAAGGAAGGAAGGAAGGAAGGAAGGAAGGAAGGAAGGAAAAAAAGAAGGAAGGAAGAAGAAATGAAGGAAGGAAGGAAGGAAGGAAGGAAGGAAGGAAGGAAGGAATGAAGGAAGGAAGGAAGGAGGGAGGAATGAAGGAAGGAATGAAGGAAGGGAAGGGAAGAAGGAAGGAAGGAAGGAAGGGGAAAGAAGGAAGGGGGAAAGAAGGAAGGGAAGAAGAAATGAAGGAAGGAAGGAAGGAAGGAAGGAAGGAAGGAAGGAAGGAGGAATGAAGGAAGGAAGGAATGAAGGAAGGGAGGGAGGAATGAAGGAAGGAAGGAAGGAAGGAAGGGGGAAAGAAGGAAGGAAGGAAGGAAGGAAGGGGGGAAAGAAGGAAGGAAGGAAGGAAGGAAGGAAGGAAGGAAGGAAGGGAAGAAAGGAATGAAGGAAGGAAGGAAGGAAGGGAGGGAGGAAGGAAGGAAGGAAGGAAGGAAGGAAGGAAGGGAAGGAAGGAAGGAAGGAAGGAAGGAAGGAAGGGAAGGGAAGGGAATGAAGGAAAAGTTACCCGGTTTGCTAGTACGGTATGATCGTGAGCCATGAAACTTGTCCCTTTTTTCACTAATTCACCGTCTAGTTCAAACAACGCATCATTTTTGAAGTTTCTTTACCCCTGTAAAAAAGAATTATGATTTTCCTGTTTCTTAATACTTTGCTTAGATTTTATAGTCAACATATTGATATAAGACACACACATATCCAGAGTCACGTACACATATGTACATTTTAAAAATAAATTTGAAAGCATGTTTTGGTCATGGCGCGTATTTCTCGGAAAGATTTCCCAACGTTCTTCTTATTGATTTTACAAAATATATTCGACACGAACTACATGTTGCCTCAGTGTTTTCTATTAGCATTTACGGAATACATACATCAGTTCTGGACAAGATCCAATTCTGCTATTTTTTATCAACCTGGATATGACACGAAAATCCTTCTAGAAGATTGGTATAATTTGAAGCACTTTCAGCCTTTTACATTATGCCGTGGCAATGGACCAAACCACATCGGGGCCATGCATAAGAACTACAGACACGGCCCTCCTTATATATACAACACACACACACACACACACACACACACACACACACACACACACACACACACACACACACACCATCTACACACACACACACACTAATGATGGCTTATGCATAAGTAAGGTCTCGAATCCTTTAAGAACAACTTTTAAACCAGATAAAATACAGAAAATAACTCTCAAAATGTAGTGCTCTTCTAAATTACAACATTTTTTTTCCATCATTTCACCCCATGCAAGGCATTAAATCCACTAAGAAACAAGGGGCTACTGAGTGAGAAAGAATACGAAAAGAGAAGAACATTATTAAAGACTGAGAACAATAGGGGAGGATAACCAAGAAGTCGGTAAATAACGATTGACATTGCATTTAATTTTTTGAAGATTATTTCATTTTTTTCTCTCCTTCACCAATAATTAAGGTATAGGACTATGGTAACAGTAATTTTTAGCGATTCGTCCTTCTGTGTGAAATTTAACTATAAGTGTATGGTAAGAGTAATTAACCGTTCCCATACAGGAAACCCTAGGCATTCATTAATCAAACAGTTAGTGTTACAGTCAGTTGAAATTGATAAAATCTTTCTCTTAAAACTGTCATTCAAGAAGGATGTTTTCCAAGTTCATTGTTATCGCTTTTCCTAGTATTGGTGGGGGTTTTCTTCCCAACGATTTGTTTAGGATAGTGTGGAAAGTCAACATCTTAATTATATCTTTATTTAGGACTTCGAGTTACAATGTGGTAATCGGTTTTTATTGCTGCCGTTGGACTTCTTCAAGTGATGTGGCTCCTGTTATTTGCTCAAGTTCTTTGTGATTCCATAGGACGAATTGTTAGGATTCAGGATTGGGTTCCCGGTTCATTTTAAAGTCGTCTTCAACACTATACTTCTAACGCCTCCACCTAAATTCTGAAATTTTATTTACTATTTATTTATTTATTCCTCAATAGGAGTAGATAGGTTTGTCTGTTGTCACTCTCCACCCCGCCCCTGGACAGGAGTAGAGAAGAAAAAGATAACGTATTGCGATATCTGCATTCGATTCGCTGAACCCTCACTTTTCGCTATTGATAGAATTCACAGTTGTTTATCTGTTCTTGTTGTGGGATAAGGGGAGATTTACCCCCCCCCACCCTTCTCTGCTTTCTCACCGATGCAACACTGCAGCTATATCACCATTTTCACAGCAAATTAGGACACGCAGAGTCCACCAGAGTCGATTTACCTTCATTTTACCCGTTTTCCAAAGGTAAGAAGAAAGTTACAGACAATCAGCTTTTTCCCAAGAATTGCCACTTTGTTGAAGTGACACCCGATCAGGAGCTTCCCTGACAATGTCGAATCACTCTCTTTCTTTCTTTCTTTCTTTCTTTCTTTCTTTCTAAAGGTAGAGAGTCACTCTACCTTCAGTGGCTCCCGGGCCTTGTAACGTGGTGATTTTAGTATTTAAAAACGTATATCCGTTATCATCGAAGTCATCCAATGGTTTGGATGCCACCGACTCTCCAGTAACGGATGCTTTCGATAAAATAACAAGAAAACACTTGAGATTTTCTAAGGCTGCCAGCTGAACTTATCTGGCAAGACGCTCTAGCAGTGAGATTCAACAAGTCGGTTCGTAAGTTTGCAGAACCAACTCCAGAACTAATTCCAAATTGAAGTTTAACCCTTTATCCATTATCAATTTCAACAATTGCTCGAATTAAATCCGCTTTTTTCTTCTGGAATTAGGGGAAATCACTCACACGTGCCAACGTATAAATAAAGTAGATGTAAAATTATTCATTTTTACGTATTAATATTTGTTTATTTAATTTTAAAAAAAAATATTTTCCGAAGAAAATTTGGACATATTTAAAGCATGATAAAAAACTAAAAAAAAAAAAATATTATTTGCGTATTTTTATTAATAATTACAAAGTCAAAAAAATATGGATATGAAGAAAAGAGAGAACGGCTCCCCAATAAATTAGAAGCACAAAGATGTATGCATGTGACATTTCGTAAATGTTAAGACCTACCATTGATAAAGATGAAAAGAAAGGTGAAAAGAATTAAACACGAAAATACAAATCAATAGAGAAAATATGCACATAAAATATGGATAAAGATATTAATTTTGGAATAATAATAATAATAATAATAATAATAATAATAATAATAATAATAATAATAATAATAATAAAAACATGATGAAATTACAAACTTTAACATCTATTTTAACAAAAAATTATTTTTTTCTTTAATAACATAAATGAAATCTTGTTAAAAAAGGTGCAAACGATGCTACGGATGTAAAGAAATTATTAATAGGATGATCCTGGAAAACTGCTTGCAAAAAATCTTAGTTTTTTGGATAATTATCGCCTTGTGCAGATAGTGTACCAAATTCCTGGATCTTAAAGTCAATGTATGTACAAAATCACCCGTTATAATTTCATCAAACAAACATGTCGATATGGAAAACTACAATTTAACTCAATCATAAAAATGGAACCTAAACATCAAATAAATATCAATAGAAAAAATTTCAAAGACGTCTTTGTCTCCTTTAAAATTTGCATATCACTTATAGCATTATGGAACAACAAGACAGAATTATCTCAAAATAGCTCAAAAGAAAATAAACCATCTATTTTACATGGATGACTTAAAATTGTATAGAAAATGACAAGATGAACAAGGCAAAAAAAATGCTTTATGAAGGTTCTGAAAAAAATTCAATTTGTTAAATGTGCGAGGTGTATGTTTTACAGGATAGAAAGGAACAAACTCACTGTATTTTTTTTAGACCCTGCTGTAACAATAAAAGTTTAGAACAAGGAGAAGCTTATAAGTATTTTGTGTTCAAGGTTCACCATAGGAAAATGAAAGAAATGTTCGTAAAAGTCGTCTCACTGGTATTTTTGAATTCTCAGAACAGAATTATGGCCATTAATAACCTAGCTGCTGGTCCAAATAGTTTAACATCTTGAACTGGACTCTAAATGACATCAGACAAATGGAGAAAACAAGAAAGAATATAAGTTCATCCAAAGGCTGATTTTCAAATCTATACATACCCCGTAAAGAAGGTGGAAGTTGTCTTATTCAGCTAGGCAGGAAGACAACAACTATTGGCTTACTAACGAAAAACAAATGACTTGATTCGTAAAACAACATGAAAACAGAAAGAAAAAATATTCAATTTAAAAGTTCACTGAATACAAACAACATTTACATTTAGGGAAATCAAAACAGAATAAGAACCAACCTTGTTGAAAAAGCCAAGGATAAAGCCCTTGAACAGATGAAACAACGCTGGCAAGACAAACCTCTGCATTTTCAATATCAGAAAACGGAGACAATGTTGATAAAGTTAATACTCATCGATGTTCGTCATCTGGATAAAGTCTGAAACTGAAGGTTTATTCTTGACTGACGAGGGTCTTTTCAAAAATTTTCAGGCAAATATCTACATAATAATGTGGAAAAATGCAGGTTTTGCTCACGAAACAATAGACCATCTAATCTCAGGATGTTCTATACTGGTCCCAAATGAATATAAAAAAATCGTCACGATAGAGTGGGGCAATACTTACACTGGACAATGTGCAAACACTTTGGAAAACATTGTTGAAACACTGGTATATCGGCCAGCCCCGCATATGGGGTTAGAAGATGTCACCAATCTAATGGATTATACCATCCACACAGACAGAAAAATTGGGAAGCAAATAGGTTGACATTATTGTCAAAACGTCAAGACGAAAAAAGTCTTGCCTACTAAAGATGTGAGGTCGCCATTGGATTGAAACAAGATAACCAAGCCCGCAAAACTATCAAAATACAAAGACCTGGAAATTGAAATAGAAAAATGTGAAATTGAAAAACAAGAATAATACCAGTGGTAATAGGTGCACTTGGAATTATAAAAAAACGGAACAAAACAACACATTGAAAGAATCCCTGAAAACCCCAGGAAAAGACATTCAAAATCTGTTAGTCTGACTTCAGCACACACACTAAGGAGAACTTTGTTATCCAACGCTAGCAACTTCATCGGAGTAAAAAAAAAAAAAAAAAAAAAAATTAACATGAAAAACTGGCCATAACACACACACGACCTGCCTTAGTCTTTCCGCAACTTGGAAGTGTGTCCATAACGAAATCGAAAATGATGATGGAATTAATGTAATAATAATAATAATAATAATAATAGACGCAGATGAAATTACAATTACTCCAGAAAATTTTTTTTTTTCTTTAATAACATAAATGAAATCTTGTTATTTTATAACTATTTTGCTTTTAATGCAGAGGTCCAGTGCTGGTTTTTAAAAGTGGCAACCAGACACCACACTAAACTACCGAATTAGCAATGTATAAAAAAATAATAATAATGCGTGAATGAACAGTGAGAGGATATTAATCAACGAGTGCATAAATTAATAAACATCAAAGAGATAGCCGGAATAAAATGAAAAGACGTCTGTTTGAAAAACATGTTGTCTTTAT